TTCGGCCGGCACCCACACGTGCGACGCGGCCCAGAGGTTGCGTTGCGTCCTTTTTCTCTTACACCCAGTCGCTCGCGACACACACACACACACACACTCACACACACTCACACTCGGTGACAGTTACCCAGACAATGTTACATTTTCCCCGAGCCACAGACTCAGCTGAAACAGGAAAGGCAGAGAGGCCCACAGAGCTGCTCTGTCTCACAGTCGGAGCCAACATCCAGCGCGTTTTGTATTTTAAGCATTACGTAATTAAGGTTCACCTGCTCCCTGCGCGGCCGCAGGTCTGTGCCATCGTCCTCGCTTCACGGAGGAGGAAGTGATGATCGCTTCCACTTGGCCGTCTTGCTGTGATGCTGCGGATCCTGTTGCAAGTTCCTTGTCCCACTTGCTTTTCACGGTACCCCCCGGCCCCCCAGGCGGGGAGAGGGTGGCTGCGATGCCTCCCTTTAACAGACGAAGTAGCCCCGGAGCATTCAGGGAGCAGGGCGTGAGGTCGCTCTTTGCAAATCGCATTTCGGAATGAGACCCTCTAAGTGGGAGGTTTCTAGGCGCTCATTTTCCCGCTGTGTGCAGTGTTCCGTGCTCCTTCAGAGGCTGCTGGAGAAGTGCAGCACCGGGTACGCACGCACGTGAGGACTTTGCACGTCAAAAGTCACAGGAACATCTGGCAAACAGGTAAAGTAAGGAAAGCACCACCTTGAGTCCCTGCGGGCTCCAAAGCCCTGGCCAAAGCTCGGTGGCTCAGAGGGTCTTTTGGGGAAAGAAAGCAATGGCCTGCCGTCAGGCAGAGAGAATTGAGGCTCCTGCACGGGATCTGTGGGCCAGCTGCCACTTACTCAGCGAATAGCCCTACTTCACCTCCTGCGCCCCAGTTGCTGCCCCCTTTGGAGAGTTCACTAAAATTCCTTTTCCAGGTTACCCTTACTGGGGATTGAACCCAGGGCCTTTGTGCCTAACCACATTCCCAACCCCTTTTATTTGTTTTAGTCAGGATCTTACTACGTCACTAAATTGCCCAGGCTGGACTCGAGTTTGCCATCTTCCGGCCTCATGCTCCCAGAGTGCTGGGAATTTAGGTGCGTTCCACCATGCTCTGCTCGCCAGGTTGTTCTTGACATTCATATAAATATACTTTGCCGCATAATATTGTTACGTAGTTGTTTCTTCTTTTGCTTTCCATGCAGAAGCATTGTATGACAGCTAATTAAAAGAAAGTGTAATATATATCTTGTGGGGTTTAAGGATAGTACAATATAGTGATTTTTTTTTTTTTTTTTCAAAATACCACAGGATCCTGGGGCTGTGTCACCCTGCTGTTTGAGTCAACAAAGTCTCTTTCCCCTGGAGAAATCCCTCTGTGAAGGAATATCCCAAGATTTCTTTTTGAAATACCACCTCTTTGGGATTCCTTTGAACTTCAAGAACATGTATTTTAAATTCCCAAACAAAATTTTATGGAACCAAACAAAATGTGTTCTATAAGATCAACTGTAAAATGTTAATTTCAATTCCCTTTTCCCTGTATTTTTCACCTTTGAATGGCAGGTGTGGATATATTTAAAAGTAACATCAGCTAGACATGGAGGCATGCCTCTGTAATCACAGCACTCTGAGAGGCTGAGGCAGGAGGAGTGCAAGTTCAAACCTAGACTGTGCAACTTGGTGATTTGGTGAGACCCTGCCTCAAAATAAAAAATAGGGTTGGGGATATAGCTCAGATCAAAGGCCCTGGGTACTGTGTAGGGGCTCTTAGCTACTTGAATGAGAAGTGGAAGGTAAGAGAGTTGGAACCACTTTCGAATGAGTTGTTTTCAACCTGTCTGAAACCATTAAACTTGATTAGCCCAAGAAAAGGGTTCAAAAGGAGGACACCACTCTTCCCGTAAATTCCTGAGTCAGTCCTGGAAGGAATCTTGCAAATGCAAAGAGTATTCAGTATAATACTTGACATATAGTTGGTACTCAAATATTTTTTGGAAGAAGGAAGATGCTTGGTAGAACATGCAAGGATGGGCGTAGGTATTGCCTTATACCGTGATTTTTTTTTTAAAGGTAAATACCAGTAATCTGATTAAATGGCTTGACATGGACATAATATTCTGCACTTTTTGTAAGCTTCCAGTTTAATGCTACTGGGTCAGACACCTCAAGAATGAGCTTATGTTTTGCTTTTTGTTTACGTGTTTGTTTTTTTTACAGTACTGGAGATTCAATCCAGGGCCTTTTGTACTAAAGTACATCCTGAGTCCTTCTTAAAAATTTTTATTTTGAGACACTGCTTCGATGAGTCACTAAGTTGTCCAGCCTGAGCTTGAACTTGTGATCCTCCTGCTCCCACCCCTCAGAGTGCTGGGATTACAGGCAAGCACCACCTTGCCTGCCTCGGGTTCATGTTTGATACATGGGCATATGCTTAGGGTTATTCTCTTCTTCAAGGTTTCACAACATTTTTGTATCACTTTTATAATTAAAAAATGTATTTGCATTAAAATCCAGGCTAACAGTCTCTAAGTACAAGAGACTAATGTCTCTGTCATCGGATGTAAGAGAAACCAAAATATCAGTGGAGTTGTATTACTATATCAAAGATGTTTAGAAAAAATAGGTTTTAAATAAAAGCGGGACCCGCGGTCTGCACGTGGACTAGGACCGAGCATGCGGTGTGGTTTGTGACCGCACTCGGCTGCTCTGAGTCAGGGTGAGGACTGCTGAGCGCTGAGTGGGAGGAGTTGGTGCCTTTTGGCCCTGCTTGACTGCTCCAGCCAGGTCCAGGAAGGGTTCCCAAGGAAGCAGCAGCTTTATAGCTGGCCAGCTCCTTACAGGCTCAATAGCTCTGGAAACCATGCTGATGAGAAGCACCTGGGGCTGTTTCTCAGCATAGGGCCTAATTCTACTCAGTGTGTGCTCAGAAAATACTGCATTTCTGCTCCTTGTACCCCAAACTCAGGAGGCTGTTCCAGTGACAGGCTGGGCAGGGTCCCTGGCCTGTGGAGCCTAAGGCCCAGGCTCCTCATAGAGGTGAGGGCCAGCATTGCCACTTGTCCTATAGATCCTTTCCCAGCAGCTGAGTGGCTTTTTTTTTTCTTTTTGAGACAGGGTCTTGCTATACATCAGTCTGGCCTTGAACTCGCAGTGATCCTCCTGCCTCAGCCTCCCAAGTGCTAGGATTGTAGGCATGTGCCACCATGCCCAACTAGCTGAGCTAATTCTGCAACAGTCAGTATCGGAACTGCTTTTGTAGTACACTTTGGGGAACAGATTAACTTGTTTTGTATTTGACAGTAGTAAAATCTTATGATTGCTGAGTCACTGTGATATTACTTCCCAATTATTTTATGACCTTTCTGAAGGAAATATTGCAAAAAGTGTAAGCGCTGTCCCTTTCCAAGGGCTATTAATGAGCAAACAACACTGACTTTGAACATCTTTATTAGAGTGGTTTAGAAATCTGAGTACAAGGCCTTGCGGGGAGGCCCCAGGTGCGAAAATCCTTTCCTGCTGGGTATGACAAGCCCACAGTAATGGATGGGGCCGGTGTTCTGACCACCAGAATTTGTTCTGAGACTGGAGTGGTTTGTTTCTGAGGATTTGGTGACTGTATCAGCTTCAATCTTAGGTCAGTACTGTGAAGCAGAGCAAAACAACTGTGGAATAACCCAGACTTGGTGTCTGGGCCCACACAGCCTCCATGTGCAGCAGACGGTGTCCTGCGTGAGCTGAGTCCTCTGTCCACAGCCACACTGGCAGCATGTGCCACACACAGAGCACAGCCATGGAGTGTGTCCAGCCAGGTGGCTATAATGTGGTCTCCGTGGAGGAGACCTTTGGCAGGAACTTGGTGAAGGCCTAACTGTCCCTCCTTTACCTGTGATACTGTTCGGGGTCCCCAGGTGCCCAGCACACTCAGGCTGGCATTTCCATTGCCTTCCAAGTATCAGCCTTGGCATCTAAACAGCAAAAACAAAGAACTGGAATAGTCAGACTTGGAAAATAGCAGAATGGTAAACAACAATGACTCAGCCTCTCTGAAATTCACAATCTAGACACTAAAAAATAATAATCTGAGGAAGAAAAAAAGTGAGGGAAGTAGATCCCTGGAAGCCAAAAAGGATCTGACAAGAAAATGAAAACCTGCAGAGAAAAGAGACACAACACAGTACAGAAAAGGGAAGGGACAGTCTGCTCTTTCTCCCTAGCTCCCAGCTGGCTTGCTAGTCACAAGAAAAGATAACCTGATCTACAGAGACAGAGGAAAAGTGGAAGACTCCTGAGGGCTTCAGGGACATGCCATGAGCTGCAGCTCCACCCCGACAGCCTGCCGTATCCCCTACAGAAAGTGCTGTGTTGGATTCCATTCCACAAGGGATGATTGTTTGAACCTAGAACTCAGAGCAGCCAGGGGACAGCTTCAATTCAGGATCCCCAGTGCTACAGTCCCACAGTGACTGGGGGAAGGACAGCCACAGGAGACAGAGAGCTGTGCTCGGGCTATCAAAAGACCCCCTGGGGGGTTTAAACCAAAGGACACAGGTGCTACCCCCACAGCCAGAACCACTCAGCCTAACTTGCTCTGGACTGGAAAGTCCCAGAATTGGTGCCCTCATCCATATCTTACTGGATGCAGATCAGGATTTGGCTGCCTTTTTTATCTGCCAGTGTGGATATGGCTCCAAAATTTTCCTGGAGGAAAACCACAAATTTCAAATGACATAGAAATTTATGGTTTTGTGTGTGTGTGTGTGTGTGTGTGTGTGTGTGTGAGAGAGAGAGAGAGAGAGAGAGAGAGAGAGAGAGAGAGAGAGAGAGAGAGAGTGTTGTTTTTAGGGTTTTTGGTTTTTTTTCTTTCTCCTTTATTTCCTCCTTCCTTCACCAGTCTTCTCTGTGTTGGAGAATTTTGTTATTTTTCATGCTGTTTCTCTCCTTTTTTCCTTTTTATCCTTTATTTTTTCCTTTTCTCCTTTTAATTGTTCTCCCTTTAATTTTTCTTTTGTATTTTTACTCTCTGTGTAATTTATTTTTTCTTCCTCTTTTTAAAATCTTTTATTTCTTGTCAGTTTTTTCTCTTACCTATACCAAAATCTATAAATATCCTTCTACTGCCCAATAAAATTCTTTGTACCACTTTTCTCTCCTCCTTCTGATAGCACAGAGTTTAAGGTTTCAAAGTTTTCCTCTTGCAGTCCCCCATTCCCAACCCCTATATCTTTAATAGTATAACCATAAAGCTATGTTAATCTTTTGATAATTAACTCTGTAAAATTACTATTCAATTAATTTCTACCGTTAGCAAAAATATGTCTCATTTAGTAAATAGGAGCTGTAAGTCAATACTTGGGTTGTCTTAATGTTTACACCGTAACTGCAGATTCCTTCTCTAGAATTGAATGTGGCACATAATTGGTTCCTGTGATATGTTAATATCCAGTTTGTCATGGATGATTGTACTGTAGCTGATTCAATGGATATTGACAATAAGCTAACACATTACTTTTGTGACATTAACAATACTAAAGTACAGTCTCAGAAAACTTGGTTATTGGACTGATTACACTACATCTCCCTCCCCCAAATTAACTAAGGTGGTCAGATCTTGGGATTGTGGCAAAGTATTATAGTTAGCCACATCTAAAGTACGTCACTGCAGGGTACAGAGATCTCTGTACTAGCAATGAAGTCTTTACACTCTAAGCATCCATAAACCTCAGCACAAAACACACAAAGACAAGGCAACAGAATGCCTCCACAAACTCTCCTCGACCATCAGGTCAAGAGCTGGGAGTGAAGTATTTCAGATCCTGAAAGAAAACAACTTCCAACACAGATTACTGTAACCTGCAAAGCTATCTTTCAAAACTGATGGAGAAATGAGATACTTCCATGACAAAGATCAACGAAAGAAATTCATGAGCACCAAACTAATCCTAGAAAGAGTACTGAAAGATATTTTACAACAAGGTAAAAATGACCACAATCTCAAGACTAATAGAAAAGAACTACCAGAAAGGTAAGCAATTAAAAAACAGAGGGAGAAAGTACAGAACCAACAGTGAGAAAATAACATGACAAGGATGAGTCAAAACATATCAATAATAACCATTAATGTAAATGGCCTCAATTCACCAGTCAACAGAAACAGACTGGCAGAGTGGATCAAGAAGCCAGATTCAACAATATGCTGTACACAAGAAATACATTTAACTCAAAAATAAATCCACAGACTGAAAGTCAAAGGATGGAAAACAATATTCCATGCAACAGGAACCCAGAAAAAAAAGCAGGAGTAGCTATTCTGTTTGCAGACAAGGTGAACTTCAAACCAAAAATGATCAAAAGAGATGAAGAAGTCATCTTCTTCTTGTCAAGGGAAAACTGCAAGAAGAAGGGATAGCAATCATAAATATATATGCACCAAATGTAGGAGCACTTGATTATATAAGGCAAATTTTAACAGATATAAAAACTCAAATAAGTAGTAACACAATGGTAACAGGGGATTTTAACACCCCATTGTCACAAAGAGATAGATCAAGTAGACAAAAAATCAGCAATGAAATAACAGAACTAAACCAAACATGTGAACAAATGGACTTAGTAGACCTTTACAGAGTGTTCCACCCAACAACATTAGAATACACGTTCTTCTCAGCTGCACATGGGACGTTCTCTAAAATAGATCACATGCACATGCTAGCACATGGAACGTGATTAAGTAAATGCAAAGGAATTGAAATTACCCCACGCATGTTATTGGACCATAGTGCTACAAAACTGGTAATAAATGAAAAAGAAATTGCAAAAACTCCATAAACACATGGAAATTAAATAACACCCTCCTGACAACCAGTGGGTCACAAAAGAAATTAAACACTATTTACAATCAACTGAAAATGCAGATACAAACTACTGGAACATATGGGACACAATGAAAGCAGTTCTCAGAGTGAAATTTATAGCAGTGGATTCCCACATCAGGAAAACAGAGCAAACACAAATAAACAACCTTATGTTAAACTTCTAGAACAAGAAGAACAAGTTAACCCCAAAGCCCGAAGATGAGAGGAAATTATAAAGATCAGAGCAGAAATTAGCACAATTGAAACTAAGAAAAAAAATACAAAGAATTAATGACTTGAAGAGTTGGTTCTTTGAAAAAATAAATAAAATTGATAAACCCCTACTCAACCTTTTCAAAAGAAGAAAAAACTCTAATCCATGCAATAAGGAATTAAAGGGGTGATATCACTACAGATCCTGTAGAAATTCAGAAGATCATCAATACCTACTTTGAAAATCTTTACTCTCATTGGATGGAAA